GGGTGCAACGTTATATAAACTTATCAACGATGATAGCGTATCACAATGTGATACAATACACTCAGAAACGTAAAGAAAACGCTTTCCTACTGCACGCTGTTCCGTCGGAAACCTGTTATTTCATAGTGATGAAATACGAAAACAGTTGCAAAGATCCATGGATATTATCAGATATCATTTATCGTTTACTCATTTGGACGTAATAATGTTATTTATTAATTAAGATAGTTGTCACGCAGTTGCCACTCGYAATATGCTTGGTGAATCTTGGTAATAATACAACAAACAAACAAACAAACAACTTGAAAGAATGAAAACGCGCTCGAAAACAGCAACAAAAAGTAAAAGAAATAAAAAAAATGATCARTGATATAATTATATTTATAGTCTCCACGTTTTTCTTTGCGCGATCATCAATCATAAAGAAAATCGAATGCTTTTGACCAGATTGTGTAACTATAACTGAAGCCCWATTTACTCTGGCGATTTCTGTAGTGATTTAATTGCCACGAGTAATAAACATGTTCAAAAGAGCGGCCCAATTTCATGGCGATATCGGCCGTAATGTCTCACCTAAATTCGCCACAAAATCACCAGTATAAACGGGCCCATGAAAAACATTAAAATGGCATGTTATAATGTTATGATTCATGTTTAAATAAAAAGTTCAAATTTTAGTATCACGTGACTATACTGGTAAAGGTTTATTTTTCTGGTAATAAACATGACCTGCAACTCCGAAATCTAATATAGCAATATATAACAATATAACTTTTTAACATTTTCAAACTACTTTGTTAACATTTTGATTCAGTACCTTAAGGCCTAATTTTCAACTTTATTGAAAATCCAGCTTGGTCAACCATCTAAAGTTTCGCATCACTGGCACATTTGTATTTGAATTCATAGGTTTCCAAGGTGCTGTGGTCTCGATATGTAGCTGCCCTTTAGAGATCGTCTTGAAACAGGAGGGACAATGAGCATCCTTTCCACCTGGCTTCTCCTTCAAATACCAGATAAACCCGCTACTACTATTTTTCTTTCTATCATCTTTTTGAGCAATTGGTGCTTGTTTCATTATATTACACATTTGGACATCACTATATGCAATTTGCTGAAGAATGGTATCATCCTGGTGTATACCAACGACTGAAATAAGCACCCATAGGTGTTTACACACTTCTCTTGGCTTGTTAACTCTATAAGGACAGCTACAACAATTGCTGATTTCAATCCGACCTGCTTATTTCGTTCGGCTTGAAAAATTTAATGATAAGTGCTTCTTAATGTYTAGCACGTTTGATAAGCGCAACTTATGGTTCTGCACTTACCGTCAGGGAATTGATAAGACGTCACGTTTTCGAAGCACTTACGGCTCGTGCAAAACCATATAATATACGCACCGTAAGTGTATTTCAACCAAATGCACCAATTATTTGTGAATTCAGAATGTCAATCATATATATTCATGTATGGTCTAAGCTAAACGTTTGTTGAACTCAATAATGAATAAGCTAGTAAGATGGACAATAGACACCTTAAGATACCCCGATTTTCATGCACGGGTACGGGTAGCGCCATTTTGAATTCATTAAATGASCACGTGACCGAGTGCTTYCYGGTAAAGCTTCACGTTTTCCCGGGRTAACCATCGTTTTACACGTTCATGCAACCGCTGTAAGCATGGAGAAACGGGTAAGTTTTTTTCACCTYATTAGATCATTTATTCATCAAATATTGTTCACTATTTCTTTCGAAAAAGTTTTTTCTTCTTTTTGGTGAGATTTTTTAATCTGAAAGCGGTTGTGGTATGTTTTATTTTTGTATCAACATAAGCTTACTGGTTTTGTAGGCTTGCAGTTTTGGCATGCTTTGCCTTTCTCTAATAATTATGTTTTAGCATGATACAAATAGCAAACAAAACGTCGTTTAAATCTACCTTGAANATTCATCATTATATCTTTCTGTATTCGTCTGCACAATCAATCTTCGAGTTGTGTTGCCATTGGCGGCTTAATTGTTCAAAGTTTTGAGTTTTAAAGCTTAAACTTTACAATTTTTAACTTCTTAATATTTTTGATTTACATAGATTTCTTTTAGTGAATAAAACTGATATTTGCTATTTTACTAGCTAGCACTAGCCACATGCAGTACTAGACTGCGTATTTTTGAAATAATATCACTGATATCTCTTTTCATCCAATCACTAACTTCCATTGTAGATTCATTTAATACCTGTGTATTTATTTTCTTTTTGGTGCGTACTCTGCCTGCTTTTCTTCTGGATGACCTCAAATTTCTAAAGTTATATAAGGGGATATGACATTGACGTCTTTGGAATGAGTTAACTGTACCTTTCCTATRCCATTTTTGAAGTTTTTGAGTGCAAGTCAGGGCTAGAAATTGTGTACCAGWCTTTGTAAAATGTTCAAGATATAACAGAATACAAATAACATGACAACACATGCGAGATACACCTACTGCGCATTCACAGTGTCCCTGGGATGGCTTTMCATTTCTAAAGAGAATGACAGCTTGCCTAGTTGTTCCATTGCTAAAACTTTTGTAAATATTGCACTTGATAAAAATGTTATTTTCCTCTTKAAGAACTTTCACAGTTTTCACTCTTCTACATTCTTACTGCTTTTCAATATTGTCCTTTTCGATATTGTCCAGCAAAACTTCTAAAACTAGGTAATGCTCTATTATGTAAACCATTGGCAACCATCTTAAACAAGTCCATTGAAAAGGGAATTTATCCCAACAAACTGAAAATTGCAAAAATCACCCCAATCTTCAAGTCAAATGATGAAAGTGATCCTGAAAACTACCGCCCAATCTCGCTTCTATCCATCTTTAATAGAATATTTGAGAAAATTATATACAACCGCCTTACAAAGTTCTTTGAAAAATATGATGTACTATGTGATTCACAATACGGTTTCCGCAAAAAGCACAATACTGAACATGCGATCATTGACATTATTCACAAAATGCAAAACAACATGGATAAAGGGAAATATACATGTGGTATTTTTATTGACTTAAAAAAAGCTTTTGACACGGTCAATCATGACATTCTCGTAAGTAAACTTCATCATTACGGGATTAGAGGAATCATGCTTGATTGGTTTAAGTCATATCTACCAAATTGTAAACAAACAGTTTCAATAGATGGCTCTATTTCATGTTATGAACCAGTACTTTGTGGTGTTCCTCAAGGGTCTGTTCTAGGACCACTTCTTTTCCTCATTTATGTCAATGACATACAAAATTCCAGTAGTGTATTTTCCTTCCATCTATTTGCCGATGATACGAGTATCCTTTATGAAAACCAAAACCTCCATCAA